GGGGGGGGGGGGGTATCTAGCACATCATGTTTAATGATTTATCACTTGCAGATGTTTTTCTGTCCAAAGTGATTTACAAAGGTGTACTTTTGCTTTCTTTTCCCATTTTATTATTCATTTAGCACAGAAATTTTAAATTTATGAGGTTTTCTGAATATCCATTTACATTTTAAATGTATGAAGCTCTATGAATTATTAAATCCATTTTATCCTTCTAGATTTCTATACCGCCTGGGATGTTATTGGAAAGCATGTACGAGACGTCAAGGTTGATCCAATTGTTGCACATAGGTATCCTATTTAATGATCAATGTCTGAATTCCTTCTTATTAAGGATGATGCAAGGTTGAGTTAGAAACTTGAATGGTGGTTAGCCCTAATATTATGAGCCTAGGTACTGCTGAACAATTCAAGAGTTGCTTGGTTCTTACTGTCACATTAGCAATCCTGCAAAGAATTCAATGGTGCAAGAGGAAAAGTATTGGGCTGATATTGCAAAAATGTAGATACAAGTCATGATCATGAGCAGTGCAAAATTTTGTGCATTACTAGATAACCATTGCCTGATCATGCTTATGTTTTTGTCTTAAATGTGAAAAGTCTTCTAATCTTTGCTTGTTGGCAGTATCTGCCTCCTTCTGAGATGGGGTGCAATGGATGCCGAAGCATATCCAGAAACCTCAAGTGATGTATTGAAAGTTTTGTGGGAAATTGGTAGCTCAACACGGCTGAGTAATGTGTTACAATGGGCAAAGGCAAGGGCATCTGCTTTTGAGGCATTAACTCAGTATGAGGTAACTAATGTTAAATGGTTGTGGTATATGTTTCAATAACCTTTTCCCTACCACATGCTGTGTGTACCTTGCACAACTGAAGAAAGCACATTCAGTCATTTGTTTGTTTTTCTGGTTCTCTATTCATAGAAGATTCTCTAAATCAATTGATGTTTTTCCAGGTATCAAGTATTGAAAAAGGTATTCCGAATTTCAGACAAATTGGGATGGAGCTGCTTCTTTCTGAGACAAATTCAGTTGTGCTCAGTGCTTTGGAGGGACTTCAAATCAAGATCATAGGACATGAGCATATGTAAAGAAATAAAAAATCCTATTGTGTGTTTCATATGCTCTAGAAATAATCATGTTTCCTGAACTGATTACTTTATAAATTAACTTCAGTACTCGGCAGCGGTTTGTGAAGGAGAAAAAGGTCCCAGCAAATAAGATTGAGAAGTTGCTAGACATTTTTCCTCAGATTATCTTTACATCAGGTATGTCAAGATAGGTTGTCCATGATTCCTCATCATAAAATGCCTATTTATGCAAGTCCCTGCCATTGTGTTTGTGAGGAGAAAAGTCAATTCCAGATTAATGTGCTGACTCTGGCTCTTCATTCCTGTGTCCCCATGGCAAGTTAATGTGTTTGAATTTATAAGTTGGCTGTTTAAGCAAAACAATCAGAATACTTCAAGTTTTACACTAAAACTTGGGCAAAGGAAAAAAAAAAAAATGTCTAAGATAAGTTAGGTTTTTTATCTTAACTCTTGACAAAGCCAAATGGGTTTGTAGAAGCACCGAAGATAATTTAATGTCTTTATTTAACTTGGCATTTAGCAAAGTAATTGTAGCCATCCCTTACATGGTGGTTTTGTAAATTGACTATTTCTGTGTTGGTATAAGAAGTTACACAAACAAACATTTCATTTGCAGGAAAAAGAAATAAAGCTGGACAACTACCTGGTGCTGCCTTATTGTGCCACTCCTTTATTGCTAAGGATTTGAACAACCAAGGGACAAAGAAAGTAAGATAATCAATATTGGCATGTTCTTTTCTTTAGGATTTACCCTTCTTATGAATTAACATTTTTTGGCTTTTAGGGATTACAGGATACACATTCTGGATATGAAGACACAATGGTACAAATAGCTGGATCTCTTCAACTCTCAAGAAACATTTTTGTTGCTCTTCTCTCTCTAGAATCCTGGAAAGCCTTTGTGCGACGTTGGATGAGAGCTGATATCTTGTCTATTGAGGCCAACTTACCAGCTATTTTGGATAAAACTTCTAAAGCTGCTAATGATATTCTGAAGGTTCTCCACCTTCTTCTGGTCTAATGGCTCTGTATTTGTACAACTTTTGTTAGAAGTACTCATTCAGAAAATGTGATTCATTGCTCTTTTCAATTATAATGCAGAGTATGATGCGAATTGCAGAAGAATCTATCCCTAGGTCTGCTGAAAACATTGCGTTGGCAGTTGGTGCACTATGTGCAGTAAGATTTCAGTAACAATAATAACTTCATTTCAAGACTTCTAAAGCTACTTTTGAATAAAGATGACGAGATGGAGGAACTCTCATGAATTGATTTCATAAATTTTTTTGACTAGCAAATTGATTTCATAATTGATTTAATGATCATTCAAATATCGTGCCATCTCCAGGTCTTGCCTCCTTCTGCACATACTATTAAATCATCTGCTTCAAAGTTTCTACTAAGCTGGTTATTCAAGTACGAACATGAACACTGCCAGTGGTCAGCTGCAATAGCACTTGGATTGGTATCGAGTTCTTTACATGTGACTGATCATAAGCAGAAACTTCAGAACATTACTGGACTGCTTGAGGTTGACAGAATTCTTTTTCAATAATATAGTAAAAAATGGCCTTCCAAGGCAAGAAACTTCCAGTGCAATGCAAAGTTGTGATAATCAACAAAATTAATGAATTAATATTCATTTAGATTGTTTGTAAGAATCATTTGGCACTGTGATTTACTGGTTATGCTTGCTAATAGGTTTTATGTGGTACCAAAAGCACACTTGTCAAAGGAGCTTGTGGGATTGGCTTAGGATATTCATGCCAAGATCTTCTTTCAAGGGTTGAAGCAACTGACAGCTCTATTGTGGAAAAAGAGAACTACAAGATGCAAGAAGAAAGATTGCTAGGAAGGATAATTCAAACTTTGTCTCTGATGTTATGTCCAATTGCTTGTTCTTCAGCACATATTCTAGAAAGTCTCTCTTCACATTTCCCAGCAAGCATGGATGACACAGACTTGTGTATAACTTCTGAATTGTCACTTCAGGATAATGATGACTTAGAGGATGATATCTGGGGAACAGCTGGACTTGTCCTTGGTTTGGGAAGTTCTGTAGGTGCAATATACAAAGCTGGGGGACATGATGCTGTTCTCTGTATAAAAGACTTGCTCAAATCCTGGATTCCATATGCAAATTCTTCGGTTCAAAACTCTGGTTCTAGAGATGAAAGATCTGAGATAATCTTGTCAGTAGGATCCTGTCTTGCACTTCCCAGTGTGGTGGCCTTCTGTCAAAAAGTTGAAATGGTGGATGGAGATGAACTAGACCTTCTTGTCAGTGGGTACAAGGATCTAATCTCTGAGTTATTGACTGTCAATAAAACTAGCATCTCTCACAAGAGTTTGTTGATGGCATCAAGCAGTGGAGCTGGAAGCCTCCTTGCATGCATTTTAAATGAAGGGGTGCACTTCATCAAAGTTGAACATGTAAAATGCTTGCTGGAATTGTTTAGAAAATGTTACTCTAGTCCTTACCCTCCTATCACCCATTTGGGTGCAATGCTTGGTGTTGTTAATGCTTTTGGGGCTGGTGCTGGAAGTTTGGTTGATTGTCGTCCTTCAGTCCTCTCTTCACATGCTGATTATGATCATAAGGTAGTTATATTATTCTGTTTCTATTGGAGGACTATATGTGACAACCTTGAGGTTTTTATTGATAATTTACATATTTATTTGTTTGGTTTACAGGATCATTCTTATATTTCGGGCCCTCTACTCTCCAGTCGTGTTTGTGAAGAGATTCCAGCATCAGTGATGCAAGAGATATTTCTTATTGCACAAAACTCTGACGACCTTCAACTGCAACAATATGCAGCATGGGCAGTTTCATTTCTTCGAAACCGTTTATGGTCTTCTGATAACATTAGGCCGGCTGACTCTGTCTCAAAACCTGTTTCTCAAAGTGTTTCAGAGGATAGTTTAGTCATGAAGCTTGGTTTATGGCTAAAATATCTAAATTCTTCCGAGGTAAGTTTCCTCACAAAATTCACATTGGTTCTTATTGAAATTCTCATTGGAGTTTTAGTAGAAGAAATTGAAAAGAATTATCTGCAAGAAGTTGGAAGTAGCACTTTTTTTTAGTTTTCATGTGCTGTGTACCCAATAAATTCATTGTAGGCACTAATATTATATTATTGAAATTCGCTTTATTGTTGTCCTATTTGTGGTATGTTTTAGTCGACTGATATTATAAAGAGATCTAATTCAGGTAAGAAAGCTGTGGTTGTACTTTCTATTTTGCTAGAATTTTTAATTAAACAAAAATGTAGAAATTCCATCTTTCTGATTCCCCTCTCATCAATCCTTTATGATTGTAGATTATCTTTTTCTGCAGGAAAGTTACATGTCACTTTGAAATGTTGTGTTGATTAATGGTTTCCTGATTGTTACTTCTTTGTGTGCTCAGAAAGGTAGAGTTGCACACATTTCCACGGTAGCAACTGTTTTAAGGTGCCTCTCTCGAGCTCCCAGGTTGCCAACCTTGGATTGGGGAGCAATCATTAGACGCTGCATGAAATATGAAGCCCAAGTGACTGAGTTGTTGGAATCAAATTCAGCTCTTAAAAGAGGAACCCTTAGAGAGGAATGCTTGCTATTTGCTATGGCCCATGGAAAGCAATTTGATGCACTCCTAACGTTCCTCGATGAGTTATCTGACCTCTACAGGATCAGGACACTTGACACAAGTCTCCAATCTTGTCTCTTCTCTCACGTGGCAGACCTGATAAGATTATTCTCGGGTTCCAGACTGGAGAAGTTGTTAGACGATGTGGCTATCCACTTATCTTCCCTTACTTCGAACCAAATATACAACTTCGAGCAGAAAAGTTCATTACGGATGTCTTGCTGGAAAGGTCTCTCTCAGTGTCTCGATGAAGCTTCACTTGACTCCCTAGAGTACATTACAAATATTGAAAAGTGCATGGAAGTTCTCTTTTCCTTGTTGCCCGCACCTCAATCGGTTGTCAATGGAAGGATGAACAATCAATTGACTTCTGTGGACGAGTGGTCTGAGGCAGTTAGTTGCTTGGCGAAGGCTCGGCAGAGTTGGTTATTGCATTTTCTGCAGGTATGCACGTTCTTGTACCCAGAATTTCTGTAAGACCAATTCCCTTGAAGTTATATGGGTGTAGTAAGCTG